ATTTAAATTAAGTCTAAATATAAATAACAGATATGATAAAAAAGGTCATTTGGTATAAGTAATAAAGCACTTGCTTACACATTATTTTATCATGCTAACAGGCTATTTTCAAATACTCCTTTTGAGATGTTTGATATTGTTTCAAACATTTGAGATAGATAATTTTTGTTAAATGCATCCTTTATCGTAAGCATCTTGAAGTAAATATTACAAACATTTTACTTATGTTTATTAAGTATAATAATATCTAAATCTAAAACCTTACCGTATCCTCCATCACTAACCAAAAAATCAAAAAAATCAAAAAATAATTGTAGGCATACTGTATTAGTCCAACCAAAAAAAGAAAAATAAGAATAAAAAATTTAAAACAAAAAATTAATAAAATGAATAAACGTCACGTATTATAGTAATTAAACTAATTTATATTTTACTTTGTAGCCTGGAATATTATGTTAAAAGCATTTTTTTGTGGATCAAATTACTCGTAAAAAAAAAGATTTAAACCTAGTAAAACTTAGTTTATAAAAGAAATTTGAAAATAAAAAAAATAGAGATAAATAAGAAAATAATAACACATTTTATATTTATCCAATAATTTTGAATAATCAAATAAATGTCAGATGTAAAAAATAAATGTTATATTAAAATACCAATGAAAAAATCCATTTTCTTAGAAATATAATCTATGAATTATTGAAAATAATTAATTAAGAATTATTGTGATTAAAAAATTTCTTTCACTATAATGTAAATATTGATTACTTACTATATAACTATAAGATTCATTGGGAATAATCTTATCGAATTTGGTTTTTTAATATTTTATCTAATATAACAGAGAAAAATCAAGTATATTGACCATTATTTAATTGAAAGATTAAAATATAAAAAAAAAATAAGAATAGTCAAATAATTTAGTAACTTCACAGGTAATCTGTAAAGATATGATATTAAATTAACATACATTTTAAGCTATGAAAAAATTTAGCTGACATATTCTGCAATTTATTTAACCTGTCCAAAATAATTTTCATGAATATAGCTTCTAACTTATTTACAAATTTTGAATTCACTATACTGTTTATTGGTGTAAAATTTGAAAAAAATCCTTCACTAATTTCGTTTATATCAGTATATTTAAAGGGCACTTATTCATGAAATTTTTAACAAATTATTAATTCTAGGTTTATTTTAAAATGATAACCTCAAGATTTTTAGAATTATCAAATATTAGTTAATATTGGAAGTTTCAGAATTTGTGATTTTTAATATCATACAAATTTTCTGTTTGCTCATTCAAATAATATGAAATAAAATTTTAGCATTTCCTTGCAAGTTCAAGTTTTCGCGAAAAGTATGTAAACTCTCTTTTTGACTAATTATAAATAGAGAAGAAAATTGACAAATTATTTATATTAAGCTTTTCTGCAATATTAGGTTACATGTGAATTCTCAATATATCGATGAATTATGTAATAGATAAAAAAATGAATAGTAAAATAATAGGATAAATTATTGTTAAATATAGGTGAATTTTAAGTAAAATATCATTATTTTTTATTTGAATAAATTAATAAATAACAAAAACTGTATATATGAAATCGGTATATTCCTGATAATTGTATCCTAGTCATATTTATTGATATCATGAAATGGAATCTTCAAATATTTTTTTTATCAAGTTAATGATGAAGGAATATTCCCCAAAATTAATTTTTATAATTTCTAATAAATTTAAAGTTTTTAATTTGAGATTTATTTTAACTATCCACATTATCTTTTTTAAACAAATTCAAATTTAATAATTTGTTAATACTAGATTTATTTTATAAACTCCGTATTATTTAAGAAATCCTCTTAAATATTATTTAAGAAAATATGAAATGATCAAACATAACGATAATATAAAATAAAATAAACAAATTAATATCCAACTGCTTAAATCATATTCATATATTATGGAACTAAATATAACAATAAAATTCAAATGTATTAGTATATACTGTTTTATTCAATAGCCGAATATAAATTAAATAACTTACTAATTAAATTATTCTGTGTATCTAGAGAATGAATTAATTCTACGGTTTGTCCTACTAAAATATAATTATTATCATTAATACGATTAGTACATATTTAAAACAATAATATATTATTTGTCATTATTGTACCTTCAGCCGAAATATTCTTAATGCTTATTTCAGTTCCCATAAGAGCTGAATCCTCATTACCTTCATTTTCTATTCCAAAACCCATTTTTTTTAAATTCTTCTAATACTATTTTAATACTTGGTCTTTTCTCAGGTATTGAATCCCAACATTTTTCATAAAGTTCCTTATAATCGTCTGGAGTTCTTTCTATAGTATTTTCACGGTATCCTTTAGGAATGTTAATATAAAGCAACTCTTGATCACTTCTGTTAATTAAATCCTTAAATGGTGGAACTCCGCTAGAAATTTCCCACATCAATACACCATAATTGCAAATATCTGAAACCTTTTCATATTTAAAATTTAAATCTAAAAGTTTTTTTGGATCTACATATGGAATTCTACCAAAAGTGCCGATATGAATAGTAGAATTTTGCATATTCATATTTTTGGAAATGCCAAAATCTGTTATTTTGGCATTACCATCATGAATAACTATATTCTTAGAATGCTAAATTAAATAGATAATTTAAATTAAACAAACAAAGTTAATACTTACAAAATCTCTATGCAAAATATTTTCGTTATGTAAGTAATTTAATCCTTCAGCAATTTGAAATGCTAACTTTTTCTTATTGTCCCAAGTTAAATTTTTAAAATTCTTTTCAAGATAATTTTGAAGATCACCATCATTAGCATATTGCATTATAAGAAGATAATAATCTTCATGATCTATAAAGAATATAAGGAATGGAATTTTTATAATAATAAATATTAATATAAAATTTAAACTTTAAAAAATTAATCATAAATTACCTTTACTAATACCAAAACAACGAATAATTCGATCAATATAATCAAAATATAAATGGATTTTTAATTCATGAATAAAAGCATCCAATATACTACCTTTAATAGATTGTGTATTAGTTAAATTTTTATAAATAACACATATTCCTGTTGTAATCCAAGTTGCTTTCATAATAGATCCAAATCTTCCAATAGTAAGTTATTTAGAATTTATTAATTGATAAATGGTATAAATTTAATTGTTTTACTTTTTAATGCATTTTTTATCTATTTATTAGCATTATTCTTATGAAACTTATCAGATTCTTTAATTTATACTATCAATAAAAAAATATATATTAATTAATATAAAATATATTAAATAATAAAAATCAATAAAAATGACTTACTAACTATTATATTAATAATTTTAAATATTTTTTTAAATATAAAATTTAGTTGAGTTTAAATTTACAATAAAAGTATAATTAAATACTGATAATTAATAAAATAACTTACACTCTTTAGTTTTAAATAAAAAATTTAGTTGATCAAATTATAATAAAAATATAATTAATAAAAATAACTTATATTTTTTAGTTTTAAAATAAAAAACTTAGTTAATTAAATTATATAAAAAATGTAATTAAAACTAATAATTAATAACATAACTTATTTTCTTAAGTTTTAAATAAAAATTTAGTTAATTAAATTATAATAAAAAGTATAATTAAATATTAAAAATTAATAAAAATAACTTATGATCTTTATTTTATAAATAAAATTTAGTTATTTAAATAATTAAATACTAATAATTAATAAAAATAATTCACTTGCTTTAGTATTTTAAATAAAAAATTTAGTTGAATTTAATTATAATAAAATATAATTAAAACTGATAATTAATAAAAACAACTCATATACTTAAATTTTAAATAAAAATTCAAAAGTATAATTAAATATTGATAATTAATTAAAATAACTTATGTTCTTTAGCTTTTAAATAAAAAATTTAGTTGATTAACTTATAATTAAAAATATAATTAAATACTGATAATTAATAAAAATAACTTATGCTCTTTAGTTTTTAAATAAAAATTTAGTTGATTAACCTATAATTAAAAATATAAATAAATACTAATAATTAATAAAAATAACTTATGCTCTTTAGTTTTTAAATAAAAATTTAGTTGATTAAATTATATAAAAAGTATAATTAAAATATAATAATTAATAAAATATCTTACCAATTTTAATTTTAAAATTTAATTAAATAAAATATTTAGTTTAGTATAAATTACAAAAAAATGTATAATTAATAATAATAATTAATAAAAATCTTACATTCTTTAATTTTTAAATAAAATTTAGTTAAATTTAAATTACAATAAAAATATAAATCAATACTAATAATTAATAAAAAAATAACTTACATTCTTTAGTTTTTAAATAAAAATTTAGTTGATTAAATTATAATAAAATTATAATTATATACTGATAATTAATAAAAATAACTTACTCTCTTTAGTTTTTAAAATAAAAAATTTAGTTGATTTTAAATTACAATAATAAGTATAATTTAAATACTAATAATCATAAAATATTTACTTTTTATAATATTATTAATTATTAAATATTTTTTAAATAAAAATTTAATAGAGTTTAAATTACTATAAAAAGTATATTAAATACTGATAATTAATAAAAATAACTTACTAACTAAAATTTTAAATTTTAATTAAATAAAAAATTTAGTTAAGCTTAAATTATAATAAAAAGTATAATTAAATACTAATAATTTACACCCTTTAGTTTTTAAATAAAAAATTTAATTAAGTTTAAATTGCAATAAAATATAGTTAAATATTAATAATTATAAAATAATTTACCATCTATTATATTATTAATTATCAAAATATTTTTTAAATAAAAAATTTAGTTGAATTTAAATTACAATTAAATATTAATAATTAAATAATCATAATTAATAACAATAACTTACTAACTGTAATTAAAATTTTAATTAAATAAAAATTTTAGTTGTATTTAAATTATAATAAAAATATTAATATTTTTTTTTTTATTTTTTTTTTTTATCTATTTAGGTCTGATTGGGCTTTTTACTTAGTAATGAAACCTTCAAAATAAAACTGTACAGTCTGTCACCATGGTGAAGGTAAACCATCATTATTTCTTTTTTTCTTTTTTTTTATTTTATTAAATTTTTTTATTAATATTTTTATTTTTATTTGTTTTTATTTTATCTATTTAGATTCGATTGGGTCTTTTACTTAAGGACAGAACCTTTGAAATAGATCTAACTAGTCTATTACTATGGTAAAGATAAGCCATCAATTTTCTTTTTTTATGTATAATAAATTTTTTTAATGAATTATTATTAATAATTTATTAAATTATTTATTTACTTTTAAGTTTGATTAGTTCCTTCACTTTGGCTAATAATCGGATAGAACCTTTAAAATAGAACTGTCTATTCTATTACTATGGCTAAGATAAGCTAACTAATTTTTTTTGATTTATTTTTTTTTCTTTTCTTATTTTGATAATTAATTTGCTTTTTTTTAAGTTTGATCAGTTGGCTAAGAACTGGATGGAATCTTTGAACAAAACTGATCAGTTTATCATTACATCTAAGATGAGCTGACTAATTTTTTTGATTTATTGTTTATTTTCTTTTCTTATTTTGGTAATTAATTTGATTACTAATTTTATTTATTTCATCTTATTTATTTGATTTAGGCAGTTTTAGGTTAAATTGAGATCAGATCATCCTTTGGCTAAAATTATCAGATGAAATAGAATTTTATTACCATAATATATATTTTTGATAAATTCTTTATTTATTTTAAATTAATAATCGTAATTATTTAGTCCCAATTTTTTTTTTAAAAAAAATTCATATATAAATAACTGTTATTTCTATCAATATTGATATTGATATTGAAATTAATATTAATATTGATATCAATATCAATATCAATATAAATAAAAATGGTCCTCATAGTTCTTACATGAAGCTAACCAAATTTATACCTATTTCTTTCTTTCTTGGAATAACTATAGCTTTTACTATATAAAGTAGAATTACTTGACATCAACATCTATATGACATGAACTGTATATAGTATTAATTTAAATCTATAATCAATAATATGAATAAATAATACATAATAATAGAAAAGAAAATTTTCATTATGCATCTGACTGTACTGTCACGAAAGATCCAAATCTTTTTTTTTTGTTTGAAAAAAAAATAATATTTAAACAACTTTTATCCCTTGAGATAGATTCCTCTCCTACCTATATTTATCTTATCCTCTATCTCTATATTGATATCAGTGTTAGTGTTAGTACTAGATAAAAATAAGGTATATAAAAATGGCCAGTTATTGGAGTTATACAAATCATCTAAAAACTAAAATTTTTTTTACCATAACATAGATCCTTCTTTAATACTATAATTATTTCTAGTATCATGCTTTATATCACATATATACAAATAGTAAAATACATACCTTAACAATATGTTTTGCTATTATCATTATACAAGTAATTTGATTTTTTTCTTTAAAAAAAAACTTTTTATTATAAATTATAAAAATGTTTAATAATAATTATAAAGGTAATAATGTAAATAAAAAAAATATTTTCACCAAACAAGAAAAAGTAATAAAAGATATGAAGCTTTGTATGACTTAAATTAGTTAATTTAACAATTTGATAATATTCTAATCTTTTTTTTCATGAATTTATATTAGAGTCAATTTCGGATATTAAAAAAGCTTTTTCATTAGAAGGTAATATATTTTGTTAATTATACTCATTTTTGTTTGTTAAAAATTAAATTATAATTTCAATTGATAAAAATAAATACAAAAATTTCTATAAATAACCAATACTAAAAGAATCTGTTAATTTCATTTTATAATGTAGAATTGACCTTGATAATGAATGTGAATATAATAATTATTATAATACTGTAATTTGTTATTTATTATTTATGTTTTTATTTACTAAAAATTTTAAATAAACTTGAAATATAGTCTTAGTTTCAAGTGATAAAGGTTATTACAATAGCAAATATAATTAATTAACAAATATAATAACTTATTAATTAATAATACTCAATAATTATTCAAATATTAGAAAAACTAAATGATAAAAAATATTTATAAATTATCTAAATATTAGATTTTTCTATAAATAATATTAATTTATTTTAATATTTTCTCAAAAATTAATATTATAATAGAATCAGTTTCAAATAATCCTACATTAAAAGAATTAAATAGTAATAACTTTATTTATCTATATAATTATTTAATAATTAATATCTTTTTTAAAAAAAAATTTAATGATGATAATACTTAGATTGTAAACTATATAATTTTTATTATATTTTAATTTATATAATTAAAATTTAATTAAACTATTATTTAAAAAAATATTTAATAATCAATAATACTATAGAAAGTAAGTTATTTATTTTTTACATTTTAATTTAAA